CGTAACCGCTTTCAGTGCCTAGAAGATTGCAATGCAGTGGACGATATGAATGACAAGCTCGTGGAAACTGTTCATGCGGTCGGAGCTAAGTTCTGCAAGACCAGCCGCAGAAGAACACAAAAACTCTCCGATCATACTCTTAATCTCATGGCTGTTAGACGGGATATGAGGCTGCAATCTTCAACAGATTTGGCAGCATACAGGCAACTGAACAGACAAATCTCCAAATGCATGCGGCGAGACCTACACAAATTTAATACTGCTCGTATTGAAGAAGAGATTGAGCGGAACCAGGGCTCCAAAGTCTTTGCCAGAGATCTGTCTGCCAGTAAGAGCCAACTGTCAAAGCTGAAGACTGAGTGTGGCAGCATCGTTTCCGGGACACCTGAGATTCTGAGTGAGATTGAGAGGTTCTATGGGCAGCTGTACACATCATCGTTGGAGCCACACGCAAGTGTGAGTAACGATCCAAGAGCGGGTCTTATCCGACACTATTCCGATGATATCCCGGACGTCAGTGTGAGCAAGATTAGAATGGCTCTCCAGCACCTTAAAAACGACAAGTGCCCGGGCGAGGGATGGAATTACAGTGGAGCTTCTAAAAGCGGGTGAAAAACCGGTACTTGAAGTCCTTCAGAGGCTCTTTAATTCCGTCCTCCATGGTGGCACTACTCCGGAGGCTTGGAGCAGAAGTGCAGTGGTCTTGTTCTTCAAGAAAGGTGACAACGCCCTCTTGAAGAACTACAGACCGATATCCCTTTTGGGCCGCGTCTACGTGCTGTTTTCGAGAGTCATTACGAATCGTCTCGCACGCAGACTCGACGACTTCCGGCCTCCCGAACAAGCCGGCTTCCGAAAAGGCTTTAGTACCATAGAATACATACATACCCTTCGGCAAATTGTACAGAAGTGCGAAGAGTACAATTTGCCACTTTGCCTGGTGTATATGGACTACGAGAAAGCCTTTGATTCCGTCGAAATTTGGGCGGTGCTACAGTCTCTTCAGCGGTGCCAAGTTGACTGTCGGTAAATCGAAGTGCTGAAGTGTTTGTACAGTAGGGCTACGATGGCTACCCGAGTACAGAACCAGAGTACGAAACCTATCCAAATGCAGAGAGGTGTAAGAAAGGGTGACGTTATTTCCCCGAAACTCTTCACAGCTGCATTGGAAGACGTTTTCAAGCTACTGGACTGGAAAGGATACGGTATTAACATCAGTGGCGACTACATCACTCACCTTCAATTTGCCGACGATATAGTCCTTATGGCAGAATCGCTGGAGGACTTAAGCACTATGATCAATAACCTCAATAGTGCCTCCCAACGGATAGCTCTTAAGATGAACATGGACAAAACAAAGATCATGTTTAATGTCCATGTCACACCTATGCCGGTAGTTGTTGGGAGCACTATGCTCGAAGTTGTTGACGAGTACCTTTACCTGGGACAAATAGTCCGGCTAGGTAAGTCCAATTGCGACCGAGAGGTCAATCGACGGATTCAACTCGGCTCGGCAACGTTCGGGAAATTACGACACATCAAAACCTGAAAACTAAGTTGTACAACCAGTGCGTGTTGCCAGTGATGACATATGGAACTGAGACGTGGTCCTTCACTGCTGGCCGTATGAGGACGCTCAAAGTCGCTCAGCAAGCTATGGAGAGTGCTATGCTCGGGGTTTCTCTGCGTGATAAACTTAGAAATGAGGACATCCGCAGTAGAACCAGAGTGACCGACATATCCCAACAGATTAGTAAGCTGAAGAGGCAATGGGCCGGCCATATAGCTCGAAGAACCGACAACCGTTGGGGATAAAAGGTTCTCGAGTGGCAGCCTCGTACCGGTAGACGAAGTGTAAGGCGTCCTCCCACTATATGGAGTTATGACCTGGTAAGACATGCAGGAAGTCGATGGATGCAGGTGGCTCAGGACCGTGCTTTGTGGCATACCTTGGGGGAGGCCTATGTTCAGCAGTGGCCTTGTAAAGGGCTGTAATGATGATGATGATGATGATTTTTCGATTTGAATATTGTGCCTTGTGAAAAATATTACGGAATGCGGATTGTGTCAGTTTCTGAGAATACCAATATTATGTAGGGATATAGAGATGCCAACCTTACTTCCTCCTTGTATGGCAAATGAGACACCGTTTTATGAAAAAAAATTGATACAAAGCTCAAAATGGTGATCGTCGAGGATGTAATCGCCAAATCCATGTTAGTAACAGCGTCGTCCAAACATACTGGCTTTTTAAGTAAACTAGTGTACAAATCCTGTTTCAATATAATGTGCTAGCGCACAATATTATCTTAAGTACGCACATTCTTACGGCGTGGTGAAGTGATTGTATAATTTATAAAGTATTTGATACGAAACTATTCAAATTTCAACTGATCTGAATCAATATCAGTTACATTGTCACCTCAGGGGTGAGATGGAATGCCTCATATCGCCTCCTCTTCTATATTTAAACCACAATACGAAACACAGCAGCTCAATGCTGCTATTTTATACTGGTATTCTGTAAGAGCGTGGTCCTGCCCCGGTCGGCCCTACAATATACTAAACTACAATATAGCTGCAGCTTGGCTCTACGTGGTTTTCATTGTACGATTTCGGCGCACAACCATAAAACTCAAGGTGTCACTATAATTTGCGCGAATCGACGACAGATTTTCAAAGTAAATGAGATGGATAAAATGTGCCCCAAGCTGTACAAAAATAAAACTGTTGCTATTAACTTAAATAAAATAAAAAAATAATTTTGAATAACTATTAACATTTCATAGCAGCTGTTGAAAAATAATCAAGTTTAAACATATTTAAAGTGATTTCTTCTCTTTAAAGTCACTCTATAGCACCTTTAATGTGGCCATATACTACTTAAAAGATTAGAGTAGGGAAAAAATTGCTAAACTTATAAAACTACTTTATTTACGACACCTTATGTATAAAAACAAACCTTCAATTAATGAACCAATACATAAAAATAACCAAAATACACTAAAGGATAGGATTTTATTTATTTGTTTAATACAGCAACAGATTAAACATGTAGTGTTACATTATAAGGTAGGCTTATTTTACTTTATTACATGCAACACTGAATCCGTCCGTCAAGCATCAAAACAGTCAGTGTCAATATCAGACTTGATATGATACACGTCTACGGACTTACGCGCCGTTTTTGGTATATTTTATATGTACGCTTTTCCTTCGTATTTGTGTTTACATAAAAACATCAACGTACATAATTTTAATTTTATTTAATAAATTCCGCAGGCCCACGCAAGTGTTTCACTAATTATAAACGGTTTAATACGTAAGTTTAATTATTTTCTGTCTAATATACTTCGATCAATAATAGTTATGTTACAAAAACTAATTACAAATAATTATTTCAAAGACTGAAAAAAAACTTCTGTCCTTGTTTTTTATAGCTAAACCAATATCAACCTACATAACACTCATGAATTGGAACTTTATTAATATTTACATTGTTTAATAATGATAAAAATCAACTTTTTTAAATCTTCATAACTTTTGCCCACTACTGTGTAGCTACATGTAATTTTATAATTGTTTATATGGGAGATCTGTACTTTCAAATGACATAGATTTCATCTCTATACAGTCTGGGGCACAGGTTCATACACTTTTTGGCCATCTCCTTTGGATAATTTGGTAGTGTTAGTCAAGCGTGTGTCTGTACAGGATGATTAACCAAAGCACACTGTTCCGTGTGGGATTCGAACATGTGGCCCTTGACGTTGCAACTCATTGTTAAGCCATTGCGCCACGGAGCCGAAAATAATTACAAAAAATAATTGGTGTGGATCGAACCTGGGTTGCTTGCGTATTGTGTAAGCAATTAATCCAATTAACTCCTGAGCAAAAATAATTTATTTACACGTAATGATCATGAGCTGTGATGATTCTAGTAAGAACACTCGGTCATAGTCATGATCATAATGTATTGTCATATGTTCTTAATCATCGTCTGTAAAATTACAGATTATTTAACCTAAGAAGTGGGTACAAACTGATTTACGAAATTCAATTACATTCATACAGAAAAACAAACACACATACTGGTTATTATCACTTAATTTTTCAATTTCTTTCCAGGAAATCCTTAGTAACAAGAAGAGTCAGGAAGATGGCGGTGGTTTAACCTCGCGCTTTCCTCTGAAATCACATAAAGTCAGTTGGTCCGATCGTGTCGGATTGCCGTGCCATCGGACAATGAGAATTTGGGGATAGAGAGCGCTTGTGCATACACTCGTGCACTATACGTAAGCCTTTTCTGCGCCGATGACTAGCCTTCGTCACAGAATAAATAATAGTACTACGTACAGAAGTTACACTCTTTTGATGTTGACTGCTTGCTGACGTTTAATAGCCTATATAATTATTATTAATAAGATAAATTACGCACGCAAGCTAAATAAACCTTTATGGCTGCGAGCGAGTGTCCGTAATACTTTGCATCTTTTTCCCTTCCTACATCACGGCTGTTTTTTCGTGGTTACATAGGGCTGTCAAAAAAGAGTAAAAACAACTCAATATTCAAGAACAATTTGTATACAATATAGGTATGAATAAAAATCACTAACCTCTCCAATTTCACGCTAATCTTCTAAGGTGATTTGATTCCACATTTAATTAAGTGGAATATAGGAATAGGCAATAATATCCGCACAGAAAAATAATATAGTGAAATTGCAAGTTAATAAAAACACATGTAAGTAGGTTCTTTTTTAGCTTATAATATGTCTTTATATATGCTCGTTTATCTATTATTTATACACACTTCTATTTACGGATCTTCTTCACCAAGGCATAGAATAAATAATATGTAGTACTGCGTTACCAAGGTTTGCCTGGACGATAAGGCCACCTAATTGTACATAAATTTATACATTAAATTTAGTGTGTTATTGTAATATGTTGTGTGCAATACAGAGTATAAATTAATTAATTAACAATAATAATAATTGATGTCGGCAGGGTCCTCTCGGACTCGGCAAGCGGCATCCGCCGCTGGTGGAGTGCGCCGCATGCGTTGGACAAGAGATATGAACGCAAACGCATTGCGGGCGTACTATAGGGCGAAAGGGGAAGAAACTAAGGGGATAGCGTATCGGGCTCAGATGCACTGCTTTTTTGCTGAGCTGGAGCCGTCTATTCCCGTCACGGAACAAAACCTGGCAGACCGAGTTCGGTACATCATGCGCTCGAAAATATATTATGGTATATTTGATGATGCCGAGCTCGAACGACTACGACGTGAGGCCATTCCCTCATCGAATGAATTGGCTACGGCTGGGGATGCGGCTCCTCAGGCGACAGACCAGCTGCCACGCGTAGAAGCCGCCGTGGATCTTCCAGCTGTGGTTAATTCAGACGATGATGAAATGGTCTCCCACGAACTAGAGCAAATGAGGAGTATACTGGAAGATGCGATTTTGGAAACGCGCACCATGCCTCTCGAAAATCGACCGCGACTTCCCCACATACCCCTAAGCAAGCGAAATCGGGCTGTCGTGAGGGCTCTTAACCCTATGCTGGTAACCTATTTGAAAGCCAGCCGGGACCTTTGCGAGACGGACTCAGTTCTTTTTTGGCGCCGCAGTGGCAGCTTGCCGTATTATTGGCGCCAAACTTCCCCTGGCTGGACGTGCTACTAAACAAAGTAATAATAATAATAATAATAATAATAAATCATTTATTGTGGACCAAAACTTTTATACATTGTTCACACCCACCAAACTGCGTAACAGTTTGTCGGTGGGATTAGCGCTTGTCTTAATACATTTGATTCAAATACGTAATTATAAACTAATGAAAATAAAAGTGTAAATAAAGCAAGTTTTAATTTTTTTTAAACCGGTATTAAACTATTATTAAGAAATATTTACTAAAATTTAGCCTATTATATAAAACAAAAACTACTGCTTTTATTAAGAATTACTAATTACTAACATTTGGCCTATAGAAACTACTACTAATATTAGGATTTACTAACTTTTTCACATCTCTCAACAACTTCGTTAAGGAAAACAGATTTCAATTTATTTTTTAATGTTTGTTTACTTATTCTAGTATTATCCTGTCTCAGCCAATCGAGGTCATTAAAAAGTGTGGGGGTCAAATATTTGTTGGTTCTTTTCCCATAGTAGTTTTTTACTGGTGGTCGCACGAGTTTACGCTCTCTAACGCTTCTAGTATTATACCTATTTTGCACTTGTTCTTTAAATTGGTCGTTATAGAACTGTTCAAGAACCAGCAGGTACTTGACCTTCTCATGTACAGGAAGCATTTTACATGCAACAAAAAGTTTTTCATAATTGTCTTTACATGCAATTTTTGTTTGTGGTTTGACAAGGTATTTTAAAAAACGGATTTGCAACGATTTTATACTGTTAAGATAGGTTTTAAATGTACGGCCATACGTATTTAATCCATATGTTAGTAATGACTCGGCGACAGCAAAATAAATGACACGCAACGATTTCTTATTCAACGCTGCATTCAGGATATGAAACTTACTTAACACTGCCCTGAGCTTTGTACACACTGCGTCAACCTGTGTTTTCCAATTCATATTATAGTCCACCCACAGACCCAGATACTTAAATCTACTTACATACTCCAGCTTTTGACAAATACAATTTAAATTTTTATCGTGCATACATTCATATGTGTGGCCCACAATACCTATATCCACGCTCTTGACATTTTTTGCCACTAAGTTGTACGGTGAGTACAGATGCATCACTTTCGTCTTATTAAGGTTAAGTATGATACCATTGTCATGAGCCCAACGAGTAACATTATCGAAGTCACCCTGCAGCACAGCCCTGACCTCTTGTATATTCTTAGAGGAATATATAAGGCATATGTCATCCGCGTACATATATACTCGAGATTTTTTAACCACATTACTGACGCTATTGACATGCATAACGTAGCCAACGGGACCATAGACTGAACCAGTTGGAACACCAAGCTGTACCGCTGCTTCCATACCAGCAACACCAGAAATGCAGGTTTGTAATGTTCTGTCACTCAGATAACTCCGAAACCACCTATTTTTTGGACCCCTGATTCCACACTCATCCATGGCCTATAACAGCATCTCATGATCCAAGGTATCGAAGGCTTTTTTAAAGTCTATGAACAGCGCCAGGACCTGATGGCCCTGGTGCAGACTACTGTTTATATCTTCGGAAAACTGTGATAGTGCTGTTGTGGTGCTACGACCATGCCTAAAACCGTGCTGTGCATCCGCTAATATGCTATTTTGCTCCAGGAATTCGCTGACCTGGCCGACTACCATCTTCTCAACTATTTTATTAATGACCGATAAGATAGCAATCGGTCTATAGTTAGCATACTCTGAGTGCGCTCCCTGCTTGTAGATGGGCCTGATTAAAGCTTTTTTGAGTGTGCTAGGATATTCCCCTTTCGATAAACACAGGTTGACAAAGTGTGATAAGACCGGCGAGATTCTATCCTTGATTATTTTTAGGTCCATAACTCGAATGCAGTCAGTGCCTGGCGCCTTACTACAGCTCAGCTGATCGATAATTTTACTCACTGTGTCACTGGTAGCTGGTTTAAAGCGAAACGTTACATCACTTTCTTTAACATATTTACTTCTATCTAATAATTTAATACTACAATTATGTTTAATAGCAATAATTTCGTTCGTAAATGTATCTGCAAATTGACTACATATATTGTACATTGTGTTTTTATCTCCAAAATATCTTTTAACTATATCATCCATATTTGCTTTCTTCCTACCTGTCCAGCTATTAATTTTGTCCCAGAATTTTTTTGGGTCTCCATTACATTTCTTGATTTCTTCCTGCCGAAACCTAATTTTTGCTTTAAATATTAATTTATTTACCTTATTTCTAAAACGTGTATATTCGAGTCTTTTCGTATTATTGTTTGGTGTTTCTTTCCAATCCCTAAATAACTTATCCCTACGCACTATCATTTTATTTAAATCTCTGCTTATCCACGGTTGTGTGTCCCGTTTTTTAATATTTGGCATTACAGTCTTACTATTTTCATAAATATCATTGAAAGCATTTTGCAGCTTACAATACAACTTTAACGGACAATCAATGAACAACAGTTGAGACCAATCATACTTAGTGATCTGCTTAGCTACTAGGCTATTATTAATTACAAACCGAGTGTCCGAGTCCGCGCTGTCGGTGCAGTGTTGCGTCACATGTTTACACGGCACCGAGATTCTCACCACATGATGATCCGACATGGAGCACTCAATGATGAACGAGTAGCAGTCCCGCAGCTGTCTTGGTCGCACCCAAACATGATCGATACACGACGCTTCTCTTACACCCGCTACGATAGCCTCTCGCGTCACCTCCGTAACCGGTATTACGCACTGTAGGCCTAGTCCACATAGGCAGTCCTTATATTTTGACACCAGTTGATTTTCACTCACTCCTAACAGGTTTATGTTGACGTCACCTAATATGATAATATCCTCGCTCGCTGGGATCTTCATAATTATCTGCTCCATTTCATCAACGAATAACGACCTATTCGTTTTTGGTGGTCTGTAGACTGCAATTATATTAAGAATAGAGTGGTCAACAGTGAGTTTACCATAAAGTCCTTCCAGTGAACTCGTTAGGGTTTTGTGTGAATTGAAACTAAGATACTCCTTAGCGTAAATAATCACACCCCCTCCTCTTTTAGTCTCCCTCGTGTTTGCAAATAGATTGTACCCCTCCATGTGGTATAGTGATAGCTCATTGTTGTTAATGTTTGCCTCTGTCACCACTAGTAATGCTAACTCCTCAGAGCATTTTTTTACAAACACTTGCAATTCATTAAAGTTTTTTCTTATCGACCGAATATTTATGTGTAATATGTGTAAATATTTATTGTTGCAAGATATACTCCGAACCCAGGAATTCGCTGTTTTAAATCTTGTATATTGACATTCCAGTGTGATAATTGCATCGAAATGATCACCTTTTTACTTGATGTTATTGAGCTCGCAGTGTTTACTTCGCACTAAGTGTGCGTGAGGCTAGTAAGACCAACAACAACATCTAGCTAGTTGCCGTATTTAAATTGTTTTCTATATATTTTTCAATATCACGTTCACTCTTAATTGACATTATTTTAGCGCCATCCCAGCCTGGAGAAAAAGAATTGAGGACCGTATCGCAAAGGCAAGGGCCCTTATCGGCAGACTGATAAGCTTCAGGTCGGGTAATAATAGACCGAGGGTTGTGCGCACCGTTAGAATGGCGTTTGCTGGGACAAATATCAGTTTGTCCCAGCCGGATATCACGCAGAAACTAACGGAGCGCATAGACGACCTGAAGCAAAAGATTGCTGCTTGGGGGAAGCGGATTCGCCGATTTACCGAGAGGTCAAGGCGGTTCAACCAGAATCGTCTCTTCCAGAGTGATCAGAAGAGGCTCTGCAAATCATTGGAGCGACCAGAGGTATGTGGAGCGGGCCCAGGACCGGATCAGGCTAATACTGTTCAGAGCCCGTAAACCACAGCGAGGGCCCTTGGACGGAAGTTGTGGCGAGTCAGTGTGCGAGTATTACGCCCATGGATCCCGTCATCATAACGCCGGATGACGTAGCTGAGGCGGTCCGTAGAGCCCCGAACTGGAAAAGTCCGGGACTCGACGGACTGCATCACTACTGGCTGAAGGGGTTCATGGTGTGTCACGCTGTGCTCGCCCGTCAGTTTCAAGAGGCTCTCAACCAGAATTCGCTCCCTAGCCTCTTCACTACTGGGATCACTCATTTGGTTCCTAAAGACCAGGTTACCACAGACCCGAGCAAATACCGCCTCATTACGTGTCTACCCACCATATATAAGACACTGACATCCATTTTGAGCGCGAGAATCACTCGTCACCTGGAGCTAAATCAGGTGATGTCACGCGCTCAAAATGGATGTCGGGGCGGTGGTCGTGGAACTAAGGAACTACTCCTCATTGACGCGGTCATTGGCAAAGTGGTGAAACGCAACCGTCGGAACTTCTCCGCCGCCTGGATAGACTACAGAAAGGCATTCGACTCGGTGCCCCATACATGGCTAAAGAGAGTCCTCGAGCTGTACAAGATAGACTGTACAGTGAGAGACTTCCTCGAGCAGTGTATGGGGCAGTGGAGTACGATCCTTTGTCATCTGGGTGAGCGGATGATGGCTGCGGAGAACCACATAAGGATAAGAAGGGGTATCTTCCAGGGCGATTGTCTGAGTCCAATCTGGTTCTGCCTCTCCCTGAACCCTCTCAGTACCTTACTGGAGGGATCTAGGAGAGGATTTCAGCTACGGAAAGGAGGGACAAAAGTGACCCACCTTTTCTATATGGATGACCTCAAGTTATTCGCCTCCAGTCGCTCCCATCTTATGGAATTGCTAAAAATCACTTGTGAATTTACCAATTCCATTGGAATGGAGCTGGGGACGGATAAGTGTGAAGTCCTCCATGTTGAAAGGGGAAGGGTTGCTAACTCTGAGGGCATAGATTTATCTATGCCCGTCAACTTAAGGACCCTTTCCGAGGCTGAAACATACCGATACCTGGGTATGTCACAGAACATCGGTATCGATGAGGCTGGTATGAAACAGTCAGTTTGCGACGTGTTTTATGCACGCTTGACCAAA